CGGCAGCCATGGTCGACTCAGGAGCCGCTGGCAACTTTATTGACTACACGTTTGCCTCAACACACTCCATTCCTCTAACCTCTTGTGATTCTTCTTTAGCCATCACTGCTATAGACGGGCGCCCCCTGGGGGAAGGACACATAAAATTCCGAACTCAACAAATAACTCTTCAAACAGGCTCTCTCCATGTAGAAAAGATGTCCCTCCTCGCAATTAATTTTCCACGACATACTATCATTCTTGGACTTCCCTGGTTAAAACTCCATGACCCTCAAGTTTCCTGGAAAACTGGTGAGATTACTAGATGGAGCGATTATTGTGTTACCCAATGTCTGCATTCTGTTTCCCCTGTCCAGATCAACACTATAACCAGTATCGATGATTCTGAGATTTGTCAAATTCCTGAGGCTTATCACGATCTACTCGAAGCTTTTAACAAGCATAAGGCCACTAATCTTCCGCCTCATCGTGAGTATGATTGTGCCATTGAACTATTACCGGGTACCACGCCCCCTCGTGGTAGAATCTTTCCTCTCTCTCAACCAGAGACCGAAGCTATGAACACCTACATCTCAGAGGAACTAGAAAAAGGTTTCATACGACCATCGACGTCACCTGCTTCAGCTGGAATTTTCTTCGTCAAGAAAAAGGACGGCAGTTTACGTCCATGCATTGATTACAGAGGACTCAATGAAATCACAGTGAAGTATCGATATCCCTTACCACTAGTTCCAGCAGCACTTGAACAACTCCGCTCAGCCCAGTACTTCACTAAGTTGGATCTCCGCAGTGCATACAACCTCATCGGTATTCGTCAGGGAGACGAGTGGAAAACCGGGTTCTCCACTATCAATGGGCACTATGAATACCGGGTTATGCCCTTCGGCCTAGCTAACAGTCCTTCCGTGTTCCAGGCTTTCATCAATGAGATATTTAAAGACATGCTCAACCAGTGGGTCATCGTTTACATTGACGATATCCTTATTTACTCCAACTCCCTACCGGAACATATCCAGCACGTCAGAACAGTACTACAACGCCTTATCCAGAACCAGCTATATGCCAAGATTTCTAAATGTGAGTTCCATCAGTCATGCATTTCATTCCTGGGCTATATTATCAGTCCCGAGGGAGTCGCCATGGACCAGAAGAAAGTTGACTCCGTCACACAATGGCCACAACCTGAAACTATCAGACAATTACAACGTTTCCTGGGTTTCGCTAACTTCTACCGGAGATTCTTCCGGAACTTCAGCACAGTAGCAGCTCCCCTTACAACCATGGTAAAAGCAAACAATGCTCGCTTAAAAGTGGAACTCAGAGGCCATTCAAGCATTCAACCAGCTGAAAGCCCGCTTTTCAAGTGCTCCCATCCTGAGTCATCCGGACCCCAATCAACCTTTTGTGGTAGAGATTGACGCATCTAATTCTGGTATCGGAGCCATTCTGTCTCAGAGGTCGTTAACCACCAACAAACTCCATCCCTGTGCATTCTACTCCCAGAAACTCAATCCTGCTGAGAGAAATTATGACGTAGGTAACCGCGAACTCCTCGCTATGAAGGCTGCTCTAGAAGAGTGGAGACATTGGCTAGAGGGAGCTAAACACCCATTTACTGTCATCACCGATCATAAGAATCTGGAGTACATTCGTTCTTGCAAACGCTTAATTCCCAGACAAGCTTGATGGGCACTTTTCTTCACTCGCTTCGACTTCCAAGTCACCTATATCCCCGGATCAAAGAATGTCAAGGCGGACGCTCTCTCTCGACTTTCGGACGAAGAGACTCTGACAGAGGATGTCGAACCTATTCTGAAAGACCACCTTATCATTGCCCCGATACAATGGGATATTGAACCTGAAATTATCCAGGCTTCTGAACAACATCCCACGCCGCAGGCATGTCCCGAGAACAAAATCTATGTCCCCGCATTGCTCCGTGATAAACTCATTACTGAAGGGCATACTCATCCCAGTTCCGGTCATCCAGGCAGTACAGCAACAGTACAACTGATCCAATCTCGCTATTGGTGGCCATCCATCAACAAGGACGTAATCAACTTCCTTAACAAGTGTGCTCCTTGTCAAATGGCCAAACATTCACGTCATCGTCCAGCTGGTCTCCTTCAACCCTTAGAGATTTCACGTCGCCCATGGTCACACATAGCCATCGACTTCATCACTGATTTACCTCAGTCACAGGGTAATACCACCATACTCACTGTTGTGGATCGATTTTCAAAAGCCTGTCGACTCATAGCCATACCCAAGTTGCCCACAGCTCTGGAGACAGCGGAACTATTATGCGAATATGTATTTCGTTACTATGGTCTTCCTGAAGACATCGTTTCTGACCGAGGGTCACAGTTCATGTCCCGTTTATGGTCTGCATTCTTTAAGAACCTCCAAGTTAATGTTAGTTTGACATCAGGCTATCACCCTCAGTCCAATGGACAAACCGAACGTCTCAATCAAGAGATCGGACGTTTCCTCCGCACCTATTGTCATGCTAATCAAACTGAATGGGACAAATTTCTCATGTGGGCTGAGTATGCCCAGAACTCATTAAGAAAGGCATCTACGGGTCTAACTCCCTTCCAGTGCGTACTTGGCTTTCAACCTCCTCTATTCCCCTGGTCAGGTGAGACCACAGAACTCCCCGCAGTCGACACCTGGTTTAAGAAGTGTGAGAAGGTATGGAACGCAGCTCACACCCACCTAGCACACGCCATCAGAAGGGTCAAAAAAACAAGCCGACCGTCACCGTCGTCCTGGTCCCACGTATTCCCTAGGACAGTGGGTTTGGTTATCAGCCCGAGACCTCCGCCTTAAACTACCCTGCAAGAAGCGTGGGTCCATTTGAAATAGAGAAACAAATAACTCCTGTTTCCTTTCGACTGACACTCCCTAACCATTATCGTATTTCCCCCACTTTCCATGTCTCTCTGCTCAAGCCTGCTGTTGGTCCAGCCGAGGCGGATAGGGAAGTGGCAGCCGGTGAACAGGGTCCCCCGCCTCTCATGATCGACAGAGAAGAGGCCTATCAGATCCATGAGATCCTGAGATCCAGACGCCGGGGTGGTCAGTTACAATACCTCATCGACTGGGAGGGGTACGGTCCGGAGGAAAGATCATGAATCAATCGCAAGGACATTCTTGACTCAACTCTGTTGGATGATTTCCACTTGCTACACCCGGATATGCCGGCCCCTCGCCCCCGTGGAAGACCCCGGTGTCGAGAGTCTTCTCACTTCAGGAGCCGTTCGTTGGGGGGGGGGGGGGGGGGGCTCTGTCACCGACTCGGTCCCAGTAACTCCCCTCGCTGGCCAGCAGAGGCCACCATCTCCGGACTTTTAGCATTACGTCATCCATCTACACTGATTGCGCATACAGTACACCTGATTAGAATCTGGCTAATGACCCACGTACCTCTTATAAGCCGCACTCAAACACTCGTTCAGTGTGAAGTCTTGTTTAGCCCCGGCCAGCATTTCTGAGCGTTATTTCCAGCCTGATCTCCTGTGCACGACTCCAGCCTGTTTATTACTTTGCTTCGCCTTCTGCCTGCCCACGACCCACGCTTGTTATACGGACTCTGACTCTCTCTCTGCCTGCCCACGAACCACGCCTGTTATACGGACTCTGATCCTTGCTGCCTGCCCTTGACCCTTGACCTTCACTCTGTGTCTGTTCATCATCAGTCTTGATACCCATACTACTACTGTGGATGTGTGTGTGCACTCCGGTGCATATTGTGTGTTTGAGTGAAGTTGTGATTAATAAATACTGCACAATGGATCCCTCCGTGTCAGTCTCCTCGTTACAGTAACCTAGATGCACTTGGTAGGTAGCGTCAGAAAGCCATGTGTGTTATTCCTGTCACAGAATGCAGCGAAAATCCAACATGACGGTAATAGTTTGATTGCGGTGTTTACATGTTTACACTCAGAGAGCAGCATTTACAGCGGATCTTTCAGCCCATAATATTGTAGTGATATTAATGGACTGTAAACTTTAGTAACTTAGAAATTATTTGACTAAGGTATGTCTTTAAACACTGAAAGAATACTGTTGACGATATGAATTAACTTTGCCATCTGAATAAACAAACAAAAACACTGATCGCTTACTTACCAAATCTGTAGAGACAGGGCAATCAACATCAACTGGAGTGATGTCTTTATTAAAAGGAGACGAGCAGCAATTCCGGATTTCACCATTTGCAGTTGAGAAAAGCTCCCGGGTAAAGAAATGTTCCTCAGACACGTATTTCTGTCGCATGTCCTGTGCCCTGTAATCCACATGTGAGTCCAGCTGTGCTCTTATAGCGGGAAAATAAAAACAAAACCTTTGATGCAGCAAATTATAAAAGCAACACTGACAACCCATATCTCCAAACAATTCTTCCTACACTTGTTTCGGCAACACAACGTGGCATTTCTCTGCCGTCTGAACACTGTATCAGGTAGAAACAGTCTTCGAAGCTGTCATGCATATTAATGAAGTTGCACAACATACACAAAAGAGCGTGTTGATTGGTTTGAGCCAAGTCATGCATGAATGAATGCAGCACACTCGGAGACGTCACAAAGTACTACCAGGTAGAGACAGCCAGTCTACATGCTGGAATACACACAAGAAGCTAATCGCCGTGACGCAGCTTCAAAAGTTTGTTTCAAACCGGAAGAACGGATTTGCTTAAAACGACACAAAAACAACCAGTTTTCACTTTTAAGTGAAATGTATGTGTCCAAATAGTGTTTTTAGCAGTGTGGGCCACATATATGACACATATATGACTCAAAATGCGTTTTGATGTTTTTTTTACCCTTTAACACATTATTTCTCATGGAGCCAATTTTAACAGGCTGTTGCTGTAAAAAAAAAAAAAAAATTATGTGACCAGTTACTAAAACATTTTGAGTTTGGGTGGTCATTTTTTTAAAAGTTGTTTATTGCCGAGAAATAATGAAATATGTACACTTTTTGTTCTATTTCAGAGCTGGGTATCACGCCTGAGATCAATGTCATGCCATCAGCAAATGTCATTGAAGGAGACCTCCTAACCTTCAGCTGCAATGTGGATATGACTTATCAAAAAAATTCTGAACTTAGAATCAGTCTTGTCCATGGACATACCACACTCGGTTTGAATATGGGACAGAAAACTTACAATATGTCTGCTAAAGCCAATGACTCTGGGCAATATGAGTGCATTGCAAGCCTCGGTGCCATTCATAAATCCTCCTCTGTGAACATCACTGTAAATCGTAAGAGATTTTGATGATTAATTCTTAATACGTATTGTAGATGGATACAGTAACCATTGGGGTGGACATGATCCCTGTGTCTATGTTATGTAAAAATAATTTATAGCTATTGATACCATTACATCTTTAGACCTTGTTAGCTTGGAAACCTATGTTCTTTCTTCATCTATTTAACACTGTAAATATATTCTGCTTTAATAAGTATTTGCTTATTTTTGCTTCAGAGCTTTTCTCTGTGCCTGCCTTGAGCATTCACCCACCTGAAGTATTTGAAGGAGAACACTTCGACATCACCTGTCATACTGACATAATTGCTTCTGTGAGAATTCAGAGGGAGGATATAAAGTACTTCATATACAAAGAAAAAACCCTTGTAATAAGCAATTACAGATATAGTAATACTGCAAGAAATGTGACTAATGGAAAATACATGTGTGTGGCAAAAGCCAATGGCATAATCAAAGAGAGCTCGAATGTTCTATTTAGAGCAAAAGGTAGGCAGTCCCTTGTCATTAATTCTCTTGGAATACATAAAAAATTTAAACAGTATAAAACAAGTGAAAAAAAAAGTTAATTAACCATTGTTTCTTTTAAGTACTTGTTTCACAGCCTGAGATCAGAGTGGATGCTCCTCCTGTCATAGTGGATAAACATTTTTGGATCCATTGCCACTCTCAGAATGGAAGTCTGCCAATTATCTACACACTGAAGAGAAACAACATTACCGTGAACAGGACAGAGGTCTCTAACCCTCATGAGAAGGCTCGCTTTATAGCCATGATATCAGCTCCCTCAGACATCAGCAGTTACTTTTGTGAAGCAGAGAATAATGGCAAAATCTCAGTCAAGATGAGTCAAAGGCTAAATGAGACTGTAATAGGTGAGGACATGAGATGTTAAATCTTTTAGCATTTTGTTTTCATTTATTCATTTATTTATTAATTTTCTTAGAAAAATAGACTTTTATTAATTCCCTTCATTAATCTGGGGTCGCCAACCCATCCTCATATGTTTTACATAGCGGATGCCTTTCCAGCTTCAACCCATCACTGGGAAACATCCATACACACTCATTCACACACATACACTATACGGACAATTTAGCTTAACCAATTCATCTATATCACTGGACTGTGTTCATACTATTGGACTGTGGGAGAACATAAAATATCCAAACAGAAATACCAACTAACCCAGCCGAGGTTTCAACCAGCGACCTTCTAGCTGTGAGGCGATCGTGCTACCCACTGCACCCACTGTGATGCCTTATATATTTATTTAAATAGTTATTTTATCTGAAACTGTATGCATTTGTAAATTACTTATTTGGACTGTTTGAATAGAAGAAATAATTTGTTCTATTGAGCTATAACATGCAACTTTATATATGACATTTAATGCAGTAATTCTGAACCTTTGAAAGGCCCTCTTGTATGCAATACTCACACCCCTCCTATATGGATGTATAAAGATGTCACCGCCATAAACAATAGGGATTGTTTTAAAATTAACTGGAATATGATATTAAATAATTTACCATGATTTGGCTTGTGATTCCATAATCAATTATATAACTTTATCCAAATTAAAATTACTTTATATAACTACTAATAATTTATAATTATTTAATTTACTACAAAAATTTTAGACTAATACAAATTTTTACTGATGGTGATTTTTTGTTACTGATAATTTATTAGTCATATTTAAGTAATCAAGGAGCAAGAAAGTCGCTGGTTCGAGCATCGGCTGGGTCAGTTGGCATTTCTTTGTGGAGTTTGCATGTTCGCGTGGGTTTTCTCTGGGTGCTCTGGTTTCCCAGTGATGGGTTGCAGCTGAAAGGGCATCTGCTGAGTAAAACATGCTGGATAAGTTGACGGTTCATTCCACTGTGGTGACCCCAGATTAATAAAGGGACCAAGCTGAAAATAAAATGAATGAATAAATTTAGGTCATCTTAGGCCCCCTAGGAATAAGGTAATATCCCTATTTCTATTAACCCTCTGTTACTTCTTTCTTTTTTTTTTCTTTAGTTCCAGTAGGGAAGCCTTTATTTACAGTCATTCCAATACCTGGAAATATTGAAGAAGGCGAAGATGTTACCCTGATATGTGGCATTCCCAAGGGCTCTCCACCAATCAATTTTAGCTTTTATGGCAACAGCCATACACCAATTAACACCACTACAGTTCAGAGTAATTCATCCTCATTTGTCTTGAGTGCAGTGAGCAGACAGAAAAGTGGAAATTACTACTGTGAGGCATTTAACCTGGCTAATAAATTAAGCAAGAGTGACATCATCTCAATCGAAGGTGAGCATCAACCCTTTTTAAAATACAGTGTTTAATTTGTTCCTTCTATCTTAAAGTAACACTTGAGTATGGCAATAAATTCACTTTTGCCTTATTAAATTATATACAAAAATGTATAAATTACCTAAAAATGGATCAGTAAAATAAATGGATTTAATCCATTCTGGAATAAGGCTGTAACATAAAAACATGTGGAAAAATTGACGAGCTATGAATAATTTCCAAATGCACTGTTTATAAAAAAGAAAAAAGAAATATATATATATATATATATATATATATATATATATATATATATATATATATATATATATATAAATATATATACAGATGATTAAGTTGATTAATATTGGCTTGAGAAAAGCACTGTATACTTCTAATGCAATGAGAACATTTGTGGCTGGCCTAAGATTGCTGAAGATTGCAGCTCAGCTCTCACATGAACTGGTCTGGGGTGCATTTCCCAAACAATGACCTAACTGGCGGCTGAACTACCCTACTATGATGGATCATTGACAATGTAGTGACGAGAGTTTCCCAACTAAGTAGTAGCTCTGTCGCAGATCCATCATTTGAACCACTTTTGTTATAATGTAAACATCCATAACCTCATAATTTATGTGCAAATTTTATAGTTTTACAAGTATAAACATTGTTTAAAAAAAAATCGAATATTAGTTTTGTTGAAAACATGCTCTCATTTTTCGCATTACTTGAAATAAATGTAAAAGGCACAAATGTTGTGCTATGTTTCATTTACAATTACTATTGAAAATATTCAATATTCTATTCTAACACATAAAGAACTTACAGAAAGCAAACACATATTCTAATCTCATATATAAATGTATAAATAAAGTGTCAGGCACTTGCCAGATTAAACAGACAGGAGACAGTAATCCGGTTCAACTCAGCCAACAGCTTAATTTATTTCTTTCTTTACAAAAACTAGCATAGTGAGCATCAGGAGGTGTCCCAATCCTCTCTTGAACACAAGAAAAAACATACGCTATCTCTCTCCCTCTCTGTTTTTATCCTCTCATATGCTCCCCTCCCCTTTTTCCTGAGAAATCCCCCTATAACAGGTAATATACAACACACTATAATAGTGAACATCTGGCCTCAGCGCTACACTGCCCCCCTCCTTAAGCTCCCTTATCCTTGAGGAAGAATGAAATCCACAATTTGCTGAGGTACTCTCAATAACTCCTTAAACCAAAGCTGTGATCCAGTTGGAGCACTGCTCTCAGAGGAGTAGTCTGAAACTTGTGATTGTTGCCTCTTTTATCAAGTATTCTGCTCCGGGATTAACAATTTAGACTTTTCATACCATCTTCGGGTGGCTCCAGCCCAGATCATTATAGAAGAAGACCAGACCCCTTGGCACTGCATGTTCAGCTCCTCCAGGAGTGCCCGAAGCTTCCCTAGATGCCCAGGATGTGGATTCACTCTTTTCACAGACTGCTGAAGTTCCCCACCCTTTTGTCCTGCATTGCGTGTTTAGCTCCTCTGAATGCAGAATGGGTTGCCCCAGCACTCTGCTTTGGAATATGGCTGCTGAAGAGTCACCATTCTCCTTGGTATGGGGCCAGTCGAACTTGATGCAGCACCAAAGTATGACCTCCGGGCTTTTATCTCAACCAGTAAATGAACTCTTCACCACATAACAAGGTCTTACCCAGACACAATCCAATTTGGGTTGGACCAAAGACTCTAGACAAGATCTCCTGAACTGAAGTCACGGCTCGTGCAGTGATGGTCATATACTCAAAACCAGCCTGCAATGCTTAGCGATGGGCAAACTCATGAGCTGACTGTAGTCGATCCTTTAACTGATGGACGTACTCCAACCCAGGTGGTGCATCAGGTGTGTCTGGTGGACGGCCCATTTGCAAGGAGATGGAATGCTTAGTTCTCTTCCCAGCATGACAAGTGCTGGTGTACATCCGGCAGTCTCCTACACTGCGCTCTGCATAGCAAGTAGAACCAATGGCAACTGTAGATCCCAGTTCTTTTCATCTTGGCACACACAAAGGGCCAATTGAGTAGAAAGCATTCGATTATACCGCTCCACTAACCCATGCAAAGGAGTTGTCCTTGTTTTACAAATACCCAACTGCCGACAGAGTTTGAAAAACAGTTGGTACTCAAAGTTCCTTCCCTGGTCCATATGCACCTTGGTGGGAACCAAAAAGCGAGCAAACATACCCTCCAGCAGGACCTCTGCTACAGTCCTTGCCTCCTGTTTGGGGACCGCACAGGCTTCCAGCCATTGGGTAAAATAGTCTATGGCAACAACCACATTTTTTTTTTTACTTTATGTCTGTGGAAAAGGTCCCAGAAAATCTACTGCCACATGATCCATGGGACAGCCTACCAGACGCTGTGCATGAGTCACATCGACAAAGTAAGACTCTAAATCCCTCCTACAAGTGTTCCAGTAAAACTCTTGAGGCACCCCTTTCAATGTTTTGTTTACTCCAAATTGTTCCCACCCCTGGCTGTCCATGCATAGCTTCCAAAACCAAAATTTGACACATCTTGGGCACTTCCGTCTACCATTTGGTCACCCCAAGTTGCTGGACCCAAAAACAAAACTCTTTGCAACATTTCCATATTCAATCTGATACCTTTTCGCATAGACCACAGCCCCCTCATCACTAGCCCAAAAGCTGCCACCTCTTCCCACACAGGCATCTGACCTCCTTCCATCCATTTGATGACTACCTGGAGATCAGGGTTCTTACGCAGTTCAATAGTCCATGCCACATTTAAATTAGGCAGCACTGCACAGCAAGATGCTGCAGAATGCTTCCTGGGGTCTTTTTGCATACTTACTGTCCTGTATACCCAGCCAGTCGTTCACACTGCCTTACAAACAAACCATGACAACCCATCTGCATTTTGTTGGCTATCCCCCTTACGATGCTGGATAATGAATTAGAAATTCTGCAGGTGCTCTATCCATCAAGCGACTTGTCCCTTCAGCTCCTGAACAGACAATATCCTTCTTAAGGATCCATGAACCATACGGATCACAAAAGGTAGATGTTGATAAATGTGATGATGGACATGTCTGACAGACTTAATGATTACACATTAATTCTGCTCAACTTTGTTAAAGGCCCCACTGTATTAAGCTATGACCATTTCACCTCCCCCAACCACCCTCCCCCTGGGATAAAACAGCACCCAGCCCTACATTACTAGCATCTGTGTTCAGGATAAATGGTAAGCTTGGATCAGGTACGGCCAAGACTGGAGCCTGACACAAGGCCTCCTTTAAGCAATCAAAAACCTGCTTCTGCTCTTGTACCCACTGAAACCACTACAATTTCTTTGTCATGGACAGATGTCACTTTATGATTATTAGTGGCTGTTATGTTTGTACACCTACATAACAGTAATTAAGACAATCACACCGGAGCTGCTCTGAACACGTCTTTACTTCACTATTGCAACAACCACATACACACACACACCACTAGAGTGGGTCGTAACAGAACAATCAATTTGTTACTAACTCAATATACAACAATTCCTCCCCTCCAGCATTGATGTATCCACTTCAAGCTGCATTCCATTATATTTACCAGTAAGAATACAAGCACTCCAAACACAACAATGCAGAACTTATTTAACTATGCAAATTGTTGTAACAGTTATTTCAGCTAGTTATCGTATGTATATATGAATAACTACAAGTTCAGTCTGTCAGGTGGTTTGTTAACACGCTCAGGATAATGTTTCGCTTGAGGCATTGCGTTTTGAGATGAGGACTGAGCACTGGACACCTGAACAGTTTCTGATTCGTTTACACCAGTGTCTGTAGAGGGAAACTTTGGTGTTATGAGTGCAAACTCATCAGGGCATGGGAAAGTTTCCACATTCTCTGTTACGTTTTGAGAAGAATCAACCTGTGAGGTTGCATCCAAAAGCTGGTCAATGTGTCTGCACTAAACCATGTTGGCACCAACTTGTACAGTGTAAGTAAGGGGCCCAGTCTTGGACAATATCTTGCCTGGTTGCCACTTTTGATGTGTTTGTCTGTAGTCTCTAGCCAGTACATTTTGTCAAACATGTAACGTCCTGAGTACGGATTGCTTTGTGTTTTTCTGACACTGTTTGGCTTGCACATGTCGGCGTAGCTCAGGCTTAAGTAAGTCTAAGCGCGTAACCCCGGCATCCTGGCCAAATCTGCCCACTGGCCTCTGTGCATCATGGCCTCCTAACCATCCCCATATTCCAATTGGCTTCATCACTCTGTCTCCTCTCCACCAATCAGCTGGTGTGTGTTGTGCGGTCTGTCGCAAAATGGCTGCCGTCGCGTCATCCAGGTGGATGCTGCACACTGGTGGTGGATGAAGAGATTCCCCCCCCCCCCCCCCCCCAATGTGTACAGCGCTTTGTGTGCCCACAAAAGCACTATGTAAATGTAAGGAATTATTATTATTATTATTGTGTCAAAGCAGCTTTACATAGTAGATCATAGTGAACTAAAACAGTGTCAGTTCAGTTTCAGAGTTTAAGTTCAGTACAGTTTAATTCAGTTCATTTCAGTGTGATTTAACATTCAGTGTGATTTAATATTCAGAGTCTAAACACTGAAGAGCAATCCATCTGTGCGCAGCTCTACAAGTCCTGAACTATGCAAGCCAGTGGCGACAGCGGCAAAAACCAACTGGCAAAAGTGAAGAACAAAAAACCTAGAGAGAAAACGGGCTTATTTGAACACGACCATTTTCCTATGTCCAAACGTCTTGTGCAGAGCTGCAGTCTAGGCGCCGGAGGCTGGTGAACTCTGTAAGTAAAGACTCCTCTGGCCAAATTGGATGGAAGTGAATTGGCACAATACAACTTCCAGCTAAAGTCAGAGTTGCTGCAACATTTTGGAATCTCTGTAGCCCAGACCCACATAACAGTGGTATATCCACCCACATTGATTTCCACCTCACAACAGCCCATCACAACAGCCTGTTCTCCTATTCACCTTATTCTCAGCTGACGAGTGGGCGCTGCCATTTGAATCTTTTTGTCTCGCGACTTCCGGTCACATTCACTTCCATTCATTTTTTGACGTTAACAACTGCTTGTTACGCTGCTTGATGTTGCAATTTAATATTTTCTTATTATAATATGCTACTTGGTCTGTGTAGTCATGCAAACATTTGTTTGTTGAGCAAGTAGTTTGGCCATTTTCTGCCGTTTATTATTCCTTGTCATTTCTCCCATAGGCGACTGAATCGGAAGTTCTAAGACAATCGCGAAAACAGGCGCACTTCCGCATTTTAGAATAAGGTCAATAACAGTCAGCAGAGGAGAATGGGAGGTCTAGAGAACTCTCTTCATCTGGAATCTGGGGTAAAAAATAGTAACTGTAGAGCATGGACTAGAACTACTCTGGCCCTGACCTCTTTTCCATAGACTCTGCTGTCACCCCAATATCCAGAGCAGTGCAATACCCTGCCTTTCCACAGCGCCAACAGACCCCTAGCTCTATTCTTGGTGAGTCAGCCTCAGTAGGCAGGGGGGGTGAGAGTGCTTTTCAGAGTATGCAGCTAGAACCCTGGGATGACTGACAGCTCCACTGGACCGTTCCTCCAGGATCTTTTCTATAATTTGAGCTTGGTCCAATGCTTTCTCAAGGTTAAAAGGTTGAGTCAATCTTACCTGCTGTCGTAGACAATCTGGAGTCAATCCTCAGATAAATGCATCCAAAAGTTGAGCTAGGTGATGCAGATCAGCCATAAATACACCCAAGAGCTCTTTTGGCTGCCAAGTGTGCCCTTGAAATTGTTGCCGTCAGGCCATCGTGGATGTGGTACCCCCCAAAATGCAGAAACAATGCCTGATGCAGTGCCTGAAAACTGAAAACTTTTCACAAAATCTGTTGTGCATTACCATCTTAAGCAGCAGCAATCTGACTCAACTTCATCCCATTCATTAAGCCACTAACTCAAATATCTTTATTCTTTTTAATCAGGCTGGAGGGTGGTAGGGGTATGGACAGGTCTGGAAAATGTAAAGCCAACTGGGATAGAGGAAAGATTTATATTGTCAGCTGTGCTAAACTATATATAGTTGGCTGTTAAACTGTAATTGCCCAGAATGTTTGTTTACACCATCAACTGCTTCAATACAATGAAAATAAGCCAAATTGTGGGGAAGTTAGGTGGAGCTATAAGCCTTTACTTGTAATCCTTTCTGGGTAATTGGCTGTAAAATATGTAATCCTGATCATCTGCAAACCCTTCTTTAACGGTTTGAGAAATGATTTTTAGAAACTGTTTGAATCTTTAGAATAGACATGGGAAGTTTCATCTATTTTATCAGCATTTATCTCATCACTCGCAACTCGCTCGCAGAGAGGAATAATTAAATGCTTAGTTGATTGCTCACACAAAAAAATGCCAACTGGCCCTGCCGGGACTCAAACCAGTTACCTTCTTGCTGTAAGGTGACAGTGCTATCCACTGTGCCGCCTACCATGTAATAAATCATGTTTAAAAAATGTCATTGCTGCCCAGCACTAATAATTATGCAAGACATAATACAGATGTGTTCACTTATTACCTCTTAGTTTGTGACATTTATAAATGAATGTATCCTCTCTTCATTGTTTCCATGTCTACTTGCTGTTTCTATGGGCTTGTTGTTTACTCTTGGCTATTTAAAAAAAATAATTATGAAGAAGAGTTGTTTAGTCTGGTTCAATACAAACTTTCATACAAAAGTGATATTTTTGTAAAGGAAGTTTTCACTGTTCTATTATTTCACGTCTAAACTTAGTAGGCCAAGTTGGTAGTTTTGCTTTTTTTATTTACATCAAACTGTTGTATACATGCAACATTCCGCTAATAGCACTGTGATGTGGCTTTATATATGCTTTTGATTTATTAGGGTTGTCCCAGACTAAATATTTTCTTAATTGACCAATTCTCAGTCATTAAAGCCATTAGTCAACTAATTGTCCATTTATTTGATCACTTAAGCAAACTGACTTAAGCAAATACAGGGAAACAGTAAGAGTTTAAGTAAAGAGAAGCAATGCATTTGTTACATTATTTTATGTTGTACAGAAATACTATAATAATAAGCATTAAAATTAAACCTTAAATGAAAAAAACACTATTTATGGATAATAAATAATAATTAATAATAAATAAGCCTAGGCCCGAGCCTTCATATGAAATATTAAATGAAAAAAAAATTGCAGTTGCAATTAGTTGGCAAACCAAAGAACTTATTCTTGAAATAAAATGAATAAACAAACTATAGGCTAACCCCACATTAAAATATATATATATTTAAAAATGGTTATTATAACTGACCATCTTCACTGTCATTTTCCATTCATTCTCATTTTTTTGTATTACAAGAAAGCAACACACATTTGCCTACATGTTGTTGGAAAGAAGTGAGCTCAGTGTTTCCATGTCTCACTCACAATGAGCCTAGGACATACTTCCAGACCTGCGCGTGGCCATCAAAGTTTTTTTTATATTGCAGAAACATGTGCACTAAAATGCTCAGCTGCAAGTACTTCTCCAACTGTCAACTTTTAAAAAACATAGAATGCTCATATGTCCCTGGCTATGCTGCCTATTTAACTCGCATATCTGCAGTACACATACGAAGTCGACTGAGCTTGTTCTGATCAACTATTGACTAATCAACTATTAGGAGGCAGCTCTAGAAATTATTTATAGCACAAATCTGTGCTTACATACAGCCACTTCACACTGTTACTTATATATAAATAAAGGTAAATATTTGTGCTGTTTGTAATATTATATTCTCTGTATGTGTCTCTGTGTCTGTTCACCCTACAGTGAGCCTGGCAAAGTGGAAAAAGATTTTGACTGTGGCATTCTGCTTGCTGATATTGGCACTGGTGGTCATTTTCATTGTGTTGCGCTACAAAGCCAAGCGAGGTAGAGAGACCTATAACCCCCCTGCATCACAAGCTGCACACATGCCTGACCTGTAAACAGAATTACCTTTTTAACCTTTCTTTCTGTCACAGATAAAAAAGAGAAGGCTGCTAAATTATCAGTGTGAGTTGGTTGGCTTATGTAAGTTGGTCTTGAATTGAAGGCATTAAACCAGGGTTCCTTAAATCTGGTCCTGTTGACTCAACTCACCTACCTCTTATTTTCTGTTAACTTTAAGACCTTGATTATTTTGCTTAGTTGTCCTTCGTAAGGTTTGGATCTAAACTTAGCATGTCAAGGCAATTTTACATTGGTTAAGATGATTTTGTCTTATTAGAAATTTGCTAAACATTGCCTATATATATTACATATTGCATATATTATATATATATATATATAGACCACCACAAACAAACATGGGTACTGGAAAATATTTAACAAGTATTTTTCTTCCCCAACTCCTCAGAATGCCTGCATTTCCCAAATCAGATGACTTTCTAATCCATGAAAGTCATTATAGTGGTTTCTCAGGTAGTCTCTTTATATTGTTACTTTTGTTTGTCTGTTTATTGACAGTCATCATCCACTCCATACATTCTTTAACATTATTTCATCAAATTACAACCTGTTGGGGTAATTTTTGTTACCTTCTTTAATTTAAAGGTGCAGTAGATGATCTTCCACAATGCTTACAGCTTAGCTTAAATCTCTGAGCAGTCACTCCCCTGCCGTCCAGAGCCACGCCTCCTGAAACAGGAGTATGCGCACGTTAAAGATGACAGCAAAAGAACCCTTTCTAATGTGTTAAAAGCGGCTAGTCCTTGTCCGGCAGTGCAGGAATTACACTCATTAATAAGCCAAACTGACATGCTATTTCAGAGCAAATATTTGGAGTTGCATCATAAACAATATAGGGAGAGACTATGCGGAATAGTCTAGCTATTTACTTGTGTATTGTTGTTAAATTAATTAAAATCTACAATATCGAAGCTGTAAAAGGTCCCTTATAAAACTAAAAACAGTCTTATCAATCTTTTACTGGAGATTTTAGTGGCTGAACAAGACTTCTGTGAATATATTACCCGATTGTAACAACAACATCTAACGTTACATCAGCTTTGTGTGAAGCTAAAACAGTTTTAAAACAAAACATTGCCTGTCTAAGAGAAATCCTTTAGACATGGTGTCATCCTTTCTCCAGTGTGCAAAGGTAACTCCAATATTGATTTAGGTTTTTAAAAAATTTCGATTTAGCATGTTTTTGCCGATTGCGCGCTCGTGCTCTCTCTCTCTCTCTCTCGGTCTCTCCCTCTCTCTTGTGAACACGCAGCACGTCTATGCACAAACATAGGTCGGCAGAGCTGTGTACAAATGGCTGCGAAGTTGTTTAAGATCTTTTCTAAACTAAAATGGGTTAGGGTTAGGGTTAGGCATTTGCTGACAGCCAGTTTTTGGCTACTTATCGGAATTATGAGGGATGTTGGTTTGACTCTATTAAATTGAATGAACATTTTTTAGTTTTATGTCCTACCCAAAATATAAAAATACATATAAATACATTTAGATAATTTACTTTAATCATTAATATTGGAACGGTAAGAGACTTTCAACCCGCACAACAATGTATGTTTCTAAAGTAAATCACCTACTGCACCTTAAATCTTAGTAATAAGATTTCCTTAATATGTAGTCGTATGACCAGAAAAAAGGTTAGGATCACATCCTGTTCATAAGTCAAGACAATTTCAGGGATCACTCTCTTTCTGTTTAAATCACTTACTTTATAACCAGTTGATTTATAACCACAGTATTTAGCTGTTGGTTGCCACTGAATCTTATATCTTAGTACACTTAGATAGACTGTCTAATTGACCTGTCATTATGCTCCAATTCACCTTGCTTATGGATAAGAACGCCATCAAACCAAAAAATATGTTTCTCTATGGCAATGAATAAATGTCTGGAAAATACAAGAATTACCTTCAAGAGGTTCGCAACTAACATTCATTTCCTGACTCCAGCATATATACACAACGGATCTTAACAGGTGGAGTTTTGGTGTAACGTCACTTGTCAGTCATTGTTCAGTCCTCCATTGGCCGCACCTTCGACATACTTCCTCTTTTTCTACGAATTCTCTGCACAACAACAAAGCATACATCTTTCTGTGTTCTGTGTTCAGTTTTAACACCTCTCTTCAGACAGGAAGTTTCTGCAGAGCTGAATTTAATTTTGAACCCGCATCTATCTACTTCTGCAAAAATGCTAATTAGTATGCACAGCAGTCACCCAAAATATTAGAAGTTCAGTTAATATATGACTCTTACATGACCAATGCAAATAATTGTTTGATTAAAAGAAAAAGAGACAAAAATAATAAAAAAATGATTCATATTTTACAACACATATTTATTTAAAAAAGAGGGAAACTGTTGATTAGACTTTTGTAATATCTTAATATATTATCAATAATGGGTGAGGCAGTGGCGCAGTAGGAAGTGCTGTCGCCTCACAGCAAGAAGGTCGCTGGTTCGAACCTCGGCCAGTTGGCGTTTCTGTGTGGAGTTTGCATGTTCTCCCTGTCTTCGCGTGGGTTTCCTCTGGGTGCTCCGGTTTCCCCCACAGTCGAAAGACATGCGGTACAGGTGAATTGGGTAGGCTAAATTGTCCGTAGTGTATGAGTGTGTGTGAATGTGTGTGTGAATGTTTCCCAGAGATGGGTTGCGGCTGGAAGGGCATACGCTGCGTAAAAACTTGCTGGATAAGTTGGCAGTTCATTCTGCTGTGGCGACCCCGGATTAATAAAGGAACTAAGCCGACAAGAAAATGAATGAATGAATGAATTATCAATAATGTTCAATTTGTCATGAAATTTTGTACATTACAAGAACCCTAGCAGCAGTAAAAAAATAAGCTCACCAATGTCCCAGTGGCTCATCCGTCATTCTAACAGTGTGAATCCTCTGTTCACCACATTCTTTTTCCCTGACAGCTTTGCTTGTAATATGTGTTTTTCTCCTGCAAACTTGTATTTGCTGTTTGTTTTGTTTTATAATTGTAGCATATTTGTTAATACTTTATTTGATGTAAAAAACTAATAAAATATTTTATATGCAATTTCTTAATTTGTTATCTATTATCCTACTATATGATCACTGTTGAAATGTACTTTTCCCCATTATGTCTTTTTTTTTTTTTTAGTTTTTTTGGGGGGAAAGTTTTTTTTTACATTTTTTTAAATTGTAATCATAAAAAAATAAATAAATAAATATAAATATATATATATATATATTGTGGATTTAATCATGTTGTAAAGTTGCAATCTTGTCTTGGGTGTGCATTTACTTCACACCCTGTTTGCTGCTTTTTTTTTTTTGTCTGATCTAGTGCACAATCAACAGTGCCAGACCAAACCGTTTTCTTCAGATGCCCTGTCTCTAAAGCAGACCAAAGTCTGTGGAAATACAGAGACTCTAGCTAAAAGACAAAGTTTCTAGATAAAGAAAACTAGTTGTTGGTTAAGCAAATGTCACATACTTATCCTAACTTTGAGTTCCAATATGCTGAAAACTGACTGTATAAATTTGAAGAATCAGGGTAAGTTTAAATTAGGCTGAGATAAAAAATAAATAAATAAATGTGTGTGTGTGTGTGTGTGTGCGTGTGTGTGTGTGTGTGTGTGTGTGTGTGTGCGCGCATGCTCTTAAAAGTCTAATTTGTCTCAATAATGAAATATATGCCTTTCTACAAAATACGATGATTAAGTTTTGCAAATAAATGCTTGCACTTCAAATGCAATAATTTTGCTGTTTTTCAGTGGGAGTTAATAATAAAGAAAGTGTTTGGAGTGAAAAACCTCCAGGTAAGTCACCACCTGAGTAATCATGATGGTTTCTGATAACCATATCTCATTCAAAAAATGCCTTCTTTTATTAATCCTTGTCTTGGTGTTTTTGTTTTTCACTAGATATTTCTGATGAGGGCATTCTACAGTTGCCAAATGAAGGTGATGTAGAGTACACAGAAGTGGTTCATTCTCAACCTTTAGATCCTACACGAAGTAAGTTCAGTCTTACAAAGTTATATCCAACTCTTTTCTTTTTCCTCTCACACTCCTTGCCTTTTGTGAAGGAACATTATAATTTTCTGACATGCATGAGCTAATTATAGAAATGCTACTTCCTGGGTGGGGTCTAAACATCTAAATTATCAAGGGTCTTAGACTTTAATTACAGTCCATATTTTCTTATCTTATAAACAGGAAAAGCCAGATTTAGTATGTTCCTTTTATCTCTGGAAACAAAATCTGTTTTCATAATACTCTGCACTTAAAAAAATATAGTGATTTATATTTTTAGTTCTAATACTAATAGTACATATTAAATCTGACTTAAACCTTTTATTTCTTTTTTTGTTTTTTTAGTTCCTCTCAGAAAAGGCACAGATACTGTGTACAGTGAGCTACAAACCCAAGGTACAATCACCCTTACAAAATAAAAGAGAACATGCATGTTCAACTAACATTATGTAATTAGGATTCAGTTTCATTCTAATACACATTTCTGTTTATACAGGATCTCCTGATCACATTAACCATGTAAGTAACATTCTATCACTTTAATGCATTATATAAATTTTGTTGCCTGACCCATAAAACAACCAGAAAATATCATGTGATTCAAGCGGATGAATGACTTTCACATTGATAATAAAATTATGTTCTCAATAACATAAAATAATTCTAATCACATTTTACAATAAGGCTTCATTGGTTAAAGTTGGTAATGTATTTCAAGAATGGTGTAAATAAGTTATGAACAATACTTGAACAGCATTTATTAATTATAGTTCAGCCTTTACTAAGTTTACTCAATTTCTAAATTTAAGCGTGTTAACATTAGTTAATACATTGTATAATATTACCATTAACTAAAGTTAAAAAAGGTAAATCAATATTGTAATAAATGTATAGTTCATTGTTCATATTAGTTACATTATCTAACAATCACTAATACAACCTTTTTGTAAAGTATTACCACAAATCTGAATACTATACAATCATTTGATTACAAAACAAAAAATGTGTAGGTATAGAATAATTTGTTTAAGTAAACTATTTATTTTGTTTGATTTGTTATCTTCTGCAGTAAAATTGTAAGTGTTGCAGAAAGTTCACACAAGGAAAAATAATTGAAGGTCTATAAACTATAAAGTAAAAAATAACAAACATATAAACATAAAAACCCTATATAAGGGCATATAAAGTCATTTGTGCAAATGAATAAGAGCAGTGGAAAGAGATCCAATCACTGCGGGGTGCCGACAGACCTTTTTGTTTGTAAGCAAAATAAAGAGAATTCAGGAGTCCTGCAATGTTCTTGAGTTGGAGCAGCATCAGATTTTCAAATTACTTTGACCACAGATGTTGGAGCCACAGGTCTGTAGTCATTTGGTCCTGTAATTGTTGATTTCTTTGGCATGAGGATAATGGTGGAACATCTAAAGCATGAGGAAACCTAGCACAGCTCAAGTAATCTGTCTAAAGATGGGGGGCAGCTGGTCAGAACTGACGCACATCATCATTGGTCTGAAGTGCAGGTTTGGAGGAGGAGGAGGGGACTGCAGGAGAAGTGGGTGTGGTTTGTTTTGGATGTGGTGACTTGTAGTTGATAATGTCTTTCAGATCTTTCCACACTGGTGCTGAGTCACTGGACTTGAACTAGATCGTTAGTTTTTTTTTTTTGAATAATTCCCCTTTGCCACTCTGATCTCTTTTTGCAGTTTGCATTTGATCTGTTTATACAGGACACTTCCCCCATTCTTTTAAGACTCTTACTTGTCCTGATGGAGTTGTCTGACTTTTACCGTAAACCAAGGTTTGTCCTGGTAGAAAGGCATATTGTAAGCCCCACCCATTACCACCTGAGGAAGAAGACAAGTCTTGACAAAAGGACAGAATTTACCCAGATCTGAGATCATCAATTTTGGTCTGTGCTACTGATATAAAACTGAGATCACACTCACACTAAGACCTTTACACCAATCAAGTTAAAATTCATGAAATTTACAAATATACAAACAACATCATATCACCATAAAAAATTGAATTTCTGGTAATTCAAAGACTTCCATTGACTTCCAATGCATATTTAAAGCACATTGTGCCTATCTAACTACAGATAGGACTGTTTCATGTAGAGAACCTCAAACTGCTACTTCTGGAGAACTGCACTAGTGGGATTATATTAGGGCAGCCATGACTTGTTTCCCATAGTCCTTCCATCAACTGGGCCACTGGAGAAGGCCTAAAGTGGGGTAAAAGCTGTATTCCTAACCATCCACAACCCCTGCTGCCTTAAGTTTTTTTTTATTTGTGGGAAAAAAGATGTAGGCTTGAGGCCCTGCATTGATTATAGATCCCTCAATAAATTACTGTCAAGTACCGTTACCCACTTCCTCTCATTCCATCCACCCTTGAACAACTCCAGGGGGCACAGATATTCACCAAGTTGGACCTCAGAAGTGCCTAGAGTCTCATCTGCCTATGTGAGGGTGACGAGTGGAAGACCATGCTGGCCACTATGAGTACCTAGTGATGGCCTAACATGGTTAACACCCCCTTCGTATTCCAGGGATTCATGAAAGAGGTGTTCCGTAGTATCTCTCACACTCTGCGATAATGTACATGAATGACATCATGATCTACTCCCAGAAAGAGGCCGAACATTGCCACCATGTTTTTGAGATTCTCTAACATCTCCGTGAGCACCACCTGTATCTCAAGCCAGAGAAATGCACGTTTCATTAGTCATCCATCAAGTTTCTGCACATCACTTTACAAGTCATTAAGATGGACAAGGGGAAGGTGCATGCTGTCAAGAACTGGCCAACTTCCACAACAGTCGAAGTGCTCCAACAATTCCTACTGTAGGTTTTGCCAACTTCTACAGAAAAGTCATTCTCCATTACAGCTTCATCTCTTCCGTTAACTGATAAGCCCAAGTCTCTTTCCTGGACTCAAGAAGCTTCTGAAGCCATGAGAACACTAGAGACTTCGTCCACTACAGCTCCCCTCCTGGTTCTTCCAGATACCAAAAGGCCTTCATTGTGGAGGTAGATGCCTCCTACTCCACAGTAGGAGCTGTACATAATTCATGTGCCTTTTATTCCCGGAAACTCTCCTCAGTAAAGCAAAACTATGACATGGAATTATGAGAATTATGAGTTACTGGCCATCAAAACAGCAGTGGAGGAATGGAGACACGGATTGGATGGTGCTAAACATCCATTTCTGGTATAAACAGATCATGCCAAGCACACGTCTCTGGGCACTGGTCATCCTGGGAACAATCAAACAGTCTCACTTCTGAAAGACCACTTCCGGTGGCCGGGAAAAGCCACCTACATCAGAAGGTGTGTGGGGGGACGACGAGATTGTGCAATGTCCAAAGCTCATCTTTATCCTCCATCTGGCAAGCTTCTTCTCCTCATTTCTCTGTGTTCCTGGTCACAACTAAGTGTAGAATTTATCACAAACTAATCACCATCTGATATCACCATCAGATGCAGTGGTTCTTTTTCCAGCATCTGCCAACCCCATAACCAGGGCTTAATTTGTGCCAGAACACGCCTGATCCGGAACCTCTGAAATCTAATCCAGCACCTAATTTTACTGATCTCCCTCCTCAACTGCCCTCCTCCCCCACCCGCTGTTCACTTTTATTTTTTTCTACGACTCCCCAACCTTCTTCACTTTCATCCGTGACACCCCCACCACGCACACTTTCATCTGCGACACCACTCCGCCATCCACCGCACCATTCAAGTTAAATTGAATTACCATTCATTCAAGTGTTCTGTCCAGTATGGTGTTAATCAACCAGGTTTTTGTAAAACACAGAGCAGCAGAATTTGAAAAATCTTGTTTATCTGGAAGAGTAGATGGAGTTGGTCCTTTTGTTGTGTGGTGGAGATTTACCAGATTGATGGGTAACACTTTATAATAAATACTGACAATGTATTATTCATTAAGCATTAGCATATAGTGAATTCATTATTTGTTAAGCATTAACTCTACATTAATAAACGTTAGTAAGCAGTTTATAACTGCAGCTACAAATGCTTTATTCCTGACTTTTTAAGCACATTTATAATGCGCTTAAAAATTGTACTTTCATAATTTATGGGTGATTGATTTTTCATTACTAAACTAAGCAGTGCATTATTCACAAAATGGTTTTTAAGATCATTCAGAATGAGTAAGTAAAAGATTAATATTAATATAACCATTCAAACTAACATTTATAATTTAACATTTACAAAGACTGTGCTATATGTGCTATAGGTGAATTGAGTAAGCTAAATTGTCCATAGTGTATGTGTGTGGCTGAGTGTGTATGGATGTTTCTCAGTGATGGGTTGCAGCTGGAAGGGCATCCGCTGCTTAAAAATATGCTGGATAAGTTGGTGGTTCATTCCGCTGTGGCAACCCCAGACTAATAAAAGGACTAAGCTGAAAAAAATGAATGAATTAATCATTTACTTACGTATTCAAATAAATTTTGTAAAACCACCAACGATTACAACTATTACTATTAACACTTAAATAAGTGGTTTGTAAATAATGCAATACTTAATTTAGTAATGAACAATGAATCATTAACAGATTATGAAAACACAATTATTAAGCACATTATAAATGTGCTTTAAATCAAGAATAGCGCATTTGTAGCTGTAGTTATAAACTGCTTTCTAACGTTTATTGGTGTAGAGTTAATGCTTAACAGATAATAAATTAATTATATGTTAATGCTTAATAAATGATTCATAGTGTGTAGTTATTATGAAATGTTACTGAAAGATTTTTTTTAATCTAGTCTAATTGAGATTTAATCTGTTTATCAACAATTTTTTTTCAGAATTTTTGAGAAAGATGGCAAAATAGATATAGGTCTATAATTTTTTAAAACATAGTGGATCATCTGCTTTAAACAAAGCTAAATAACTTTAGCTATTTTAAATCCCTAAACAATATTGGGACAATACCAGTTTTTAAGGAAAGACAAAACAATATGAACAAGTGATTTCAGTATTGAACATTTATCCTGTTTAATAAGAAACACATAAATTGTCCATAGTGTATGAGTGTGTGTATGAGTGTAAATGGATGTTTCCTAGTGATGGGTTGCAGCTGGAAGGGCATCCGCTGTGTAAAACATATGCTGGATAAGTTGGCAGTTCATTCCGCTGTGGCGACCCCTGATTAATCAAGGAACTAAGCCGAAAAAGATAATAAATGAATGAATGAATGAATGAATGAATGAATGAATGAATGAATGAATGAATGAATGAAGATGTTTTATTCATCAATAAGTTTTTGAATTTCAGATGCCTTAAAATCGACACGTTGTAAAAATTTCCAGTTCTAGCCCCTTCCATTACTATCCACTACTTTCCAGAAAATCCCTATTCTATAATTTATTAAATCTTCCTACCTTTCTTTTTGTTGATTGTTTTAAGGTGTCACCAATAAATAGTTCCCATGCTAAGTTTCCCAAAAATTGTTGGGAGACCTAGAAATGACCGGTGTGTCAAAGA